TTACCCAATGTTAAATTGAGTTTCCTAAACTCCAAATAATAATAGCATGAAGTGCAGGTGTTTTACAAGACACTTGCCTCCATCCATGGATATGTACGAGCTAGCTCCCAAGTTCCGTAGCCACCATTAGGATTCTGCATACAGCCTAGTGTCAAGTCATTTTTACACAACCTAGCTGTGATGTGCTTGGCATTGGTGTAAATCTGTAACAAAACTGCAATATCTGTCGCATGAACCAAAATTCTATTGGTTAATTCTACGTCATTTTTTACCAAGTCAAAATGGCCAAATTGTTTGCAAAGATTGCGTATCAGAATCATGTGTGTAAGATTTGACAGTGCTCACACTGAATCTGCCTTTCATTACCATTCATATGGCTTTGGTGCTGAATTAGTGATTAGCGTCAAACTGAAACTATCATTTACCCAACTCTACTGTGACCAATATATGGAATCCGAAGGAAAGCGTGTGGTTCCACACCTGTAAAGATAGTAATACGTTCACCGCATCATGGAAGCGGCTTGTTTCCATCTGATCACCCACGATATCTGACGGAAACTCTGAGAGCAGTAACAGAGCCTGAAACAGAAGAAGAATTACAAAAGCCTGAAAGGCTGAAACAAAATGAAATGCGTTACTTTGTAGTAGCAAAATGAAAGTCATGTTTCCATTTTAGTTTATTTGATATCGCACCTTGAGAGCTTCTGCTGTGCAATCTGAAACCTGCCAGCCCTGGTCTGCAACCTGGAAGGCCCATCCTCCTTTAGAGATGTGACGGTACTTTCTGCTGAAGTCACCAGAAGGATTGTCGACAATCTTAAAAAAAATTAAGTTAGTAGAGTCAGGATTTTAGTCAAGATAAATTTAAGTAACAAGATTCAGTTCTGGTAAAAATATATTACCTGGGATGCTTTTATGAAATGATGTGCTTTCCTGAGAGTAGTTCCAAATTCCTCTGCAACATTAGACGCTAATATCGCTTGTACGGCAAAAGCAACATCCCATGATTGGCCCGCACATACCTTTCGAACGAACAATGAAGTCGTGTAATATCAGTTAGTTTGTGCACAAATTTCAGTTTGACTGGGATACATAAATGGACTATATTACATAAACAAGAGTTATTAAAATTTACCCGCACTTTCATGCCATCTTCACCGAGCCATAGAAAATCAGCAACTCTAGCCAAGTGGCGCTTGAATGCATCTGAATTGGGATCCTCAGACCAACAGCATAACATGGATAATGCCTGTAATAATGTTTATTCTTTGTAAGGAAATGATGTTCATTTACAGCTCACTGAAAACCCAGCACTGAATTATTTTGAGAAGACCTCCGTAAGCCTTACCTTTTGCGCGGCGCCGATGCAGATATACCGTGAAATATCATCTTCGTATTTCAGGAAATCGGCAATTTGTTGTAGAGCTCTTCGTCTCATGTGGGAAACTGGCCAACATGCCAGAAAAGGTTCACCGAAACTGTATAAGCAATCGGACAAGCATTCTTGGAGCCAGGTATGTGGATGATAGGCATCTTCCTGCATTTGAGTTCATAATCTGTTGTCACCAATCCTTTAAAATTAAACTGTAAGGTAAAACTATATAGTTAGTGGACTGGCTCACCTTTGCGCATAATTTGCGCGCTTGCTTCCAGTTAATCTTTTTGTAGGGGTGAATATGCAGCTCTTCTCTTAATGATAAAACCAGTTTTGTTATTGGGCCAACAAACTTCTTGCCATATAAATAGGACATGGGGATGAAAGCCATTCTGAAGTGACTCCACAACCGTCCTGCATTCGAGAAACAACATGATTGTTCTCGTAAAATAAGCTCCTCCTAATATGGTTCATGCCTAGTGTTGAATAACCGAGTAATTAACTGTCGTAACATGGCTGAACACTCAACGCGCCGGCGAAGAACTCTGCGTACCTGGTTGAATAGGAACGAAGGATGGCAGAAGGAACAATTCTGGGGGCATAGGGTTTACACCTGACCAGTCAAAAACCCCAAGTACCTGCAGCATCAGGCATACAGTTCAGATGCGCTTTGGGTCGATCGACATAAATAGTTTCGTCAAATTTTTACTCTTGTTGAAGAGTTCTGCATAACTGAAAGCATGCAGTTTCAGACTTGCTTGTTAACAAGAACATAATTTTTACTCCGAGTATATTAACAAGAAGCGGTGAAATGTTTGGCGAATCAAGCTAACTTGTGAATCACTTGCTGAAAATAAAAAGTTGGGGCCGGCACAAGGGCGATGATTATTACCGAGAGCCACAGTTTTCCCAAGATTGGTATCATTGTTGCACCACCATGGTCATGTATCCATTTCCAAGCTTTCGGCATGGACATATCCGGTCCATCATCAGCGCCCTCACCAAGTAGTCTTAGAGCAGTGTAGTTGAGAGCTGAGCTGAGCATGGAGCTTTCGCCTTCTGCGTGTAGTCCCCAACCTCCATCTATATTCTGATGATACAAAAATTGGGTCAGTCTATTTTTGATGATATATTTTTCTTCTAAAAATTTTTGAAGACATCCAGAGAAACAGTTTCAGTCAAAATATATATTGTGGAAAACAGAACTTCCTAGTTATCCATGACTAGTTTCCTGGAAAATGTGCAGCTTAATTACCTGACGGTTGTACAAATAACGACAGATCTCCTTGCGATGTTCCGATGACAGCGTAGTACCTAATGACTCGGTGACATACAAAACTATGATCTGAAGCAGGAAGGAATAAACATAAGAATGTCATGTGGAAGTGGAAGAATATGAGAATACAGTGTGCATGAGCATCTAAAAATGTTGGCTATAACTAACTTGATGGTGATGATCCAAACAATTAAACAGCAAGTTTAATTATGATGTATCTTAATTACCATGGTTGCGGTGGTAAAGAGTGGCCCCGGGAAATCTCCTGGCCAGTGCCCATCATGCGCTTGTATGGCAGAGAAGTATCCGAGTGCCCTTCTCAGTGCCTCTGATACCGTAGCTACATTGATGTCGACAGTAGCTTCATCATTTGGTTTCTGCTGATCAAGGCTGAAGTTATTCTTCTTTGCTAGCTGCAGAACGAAAAACAGAGCATGTACTCAGTTTCTTATAATAAAAAGCTTCAAATATCATCAGAGACTGCAAAGGTGCATACATATCAGTGCATTTTAGTTACCTGCATGCGAGCCAGAACATCGGAGCTGTGCCTTGTCCTGAACCTGTTCTTCTGGAATTCGGCCCGTGCAGCATCAAGCGCATCCCGCTCTTCGCTTGATCCGGCATCGTTTTGGTCAAAATCCCATGTTTCTCTTCCGACATGATTATTGCCGCTCGTGAGCCACGGGCCGCCCTCGGCGATCTTGAGCTTCCACATATATGTATTTTACAGCACAAACAAACACAATTTGTTCTTCTGCCACTGACCAACCTGATGGACAGAAGGAGGATTGAAGTGGTCAGATACTTTGGAAAGAATATCCGTAATCGCAAAGGAGGATTCACTCTATTTTTGCCACCTTTGTCAATGCATGCATCAGTTTGATATAATTTTATTTTTTGAAATGGGAAATATGTCATGTAAACGTCGAACAGCACTGACATAAACAAGAGAGCATCACAGCACTTACAGAATATTTGAATTGCACTTGTTAGCAAGCACGATCACAGCGGGAGGGAATCGATAGAAGAGCGCGCGCATCACCCACCGTACCAACACCGAATGAAGGAAGCAGGGTCATGAGTAGAATGTTGCGCATTCGGTCGGTCGGTCAGAGTAGCAGCATGGATGATGCATGAAGAGTGGGCCGAATGTGTTTATATCTCCGGGAAATGGGGCGGGGGCAAATCACATGGAAGCGATGAGTCCTTCCTTTTGCGTGCTCGATCGCGATGGAGCTTGCTTGGCAGCTGAAAACCAGGGGGAAATGGCTTATGCATGCTCGACCGTCATGCGATTCTCGGTGCGTGCCGTGTGAGTGCGGCGCATCACCCATCTCGTTTGCTCAAATGGTTTGTGAAAATTCGATGAAACGAAATGGTGTGAATTGTGTTGGTGCACTCTGAAACTAATTTTGTGCGCTTCCAACGATGTGTTTGGCGGATTTCGCTGTGGAGTTTGTCGCCCCCTTTCGCCTTACGATTCGTTAGTAATGTTCTTTCTCAATGTGAACAACTGTAGTAATATCAGCATCAATACTGACTACTAGGAATTAATCATGGAAGGCCAACAGAGCAGCTAAACTGCATTCACCAAATTAGAAAGAATATAGTATGCTTTAACAATTGATCATGATAGCATTGTCTGTTACACTAGATACAAACAAAAAAACCACTGCAGTTCAAAGTTACAAACTGGAATTTTCAAAGAAGGCAATACGTACTCGAGCGTCAATTACATACAGAGACTAAAACATTGATCGATTGATCGATCGAGCAAAAAATGCAGAGCAAGTTGCCAAGAATTCAGACGACCTCCCTCCCTACCTCCCTACCTACCTTGTATGCACAATCTTCAGTACTAGCTAGAAGCTATCTGTTCCATGAAACAATCACATTATACTCACAGCATTAGCTACAGGTTGGAATCAAACGCATCTCCAGGTTTGGACTACTGATTTCAATACAACACCACAAGCAGAGGACTGAAGGTGCAGCCACATTATTCAGGAATTAACTAGGATCCTCTTTCGATACAGTTAGTTGCATCCTCTTTCTTACAGAATTAACCAGGGGAGCTTTATTCAACATAAGTGGTCAGGGTACAATCAGCCACTAACAATCATATTATGCACCGTCAATGTACATGCTTTTGCTTGCTAATAATGATATTATGTATACACATGACATGGTGATGGGTATGGATATGATAGGGATTGATTGTACATGCATGCTGCACATTCTGCTTATTTATTCCTAGTGTTTGTTTCCTCCCTTTACACAAGTAACAACTAGTATACATACATGGCCTAGGAATTTCATTTCCTTTCCTACCTCGGGGAAACAGAGCCGCTACTTCTCGCCATCCTTGTCGTCGCCGCCGGTCGTCGCCGGTCCATCGTCACCGTCATCGTCGCCGTGTGAGAAGTGGGATTTGAGCCCGATCCAGCACTGGTAGTAGTCGAGGTCCCGGGACGGCGACTCCAGGGCCCAGCGGCACACGAGCGGGATCAGCGCCGACTCGAACATGAAGGCCAGTGTGCCGCTCAGCCTCGTCGGCGTGTTGGCGTCCGGTCCACCAAGCTTGCTGATGGTCGCTTCGTACGTCTTGGTATCCGGACCGTGGGGTGTCATGCAGCTGTGCAGGCTCGCGCCTCCGGGCAGGAAACCGTCGGCTTTAGCCTGTGTCGCAAAGTCCAGTTCAGTTCAGGACTTCAGGAAACAGATAACAAAGTTCAGTTCAGTTTATGCCGAGGTTAGAGAATTACTACCTCGTATACACCGTAGATCAGCCCCATGAACTCGCTCATGCAGTTGCGGTGGTAGTACGGAGGGCGGAACGTGTTCTCGGCCACCAGCCATCGGGGCGGGAATATCACGAAATCAAGCAGTGCCACGCCAGGCTTGTCAGTAGGAGCAGTCAGCACTGAAAATTCGAGGAACAATATATTAAGCATGAGCTTGTCAGACTTAGAACCCCAACCCAGGAAGCAGCTAAAATGCCCTCCAGAACTCAATCAAATATTATCACAGTGAGAAGACGCAGTCACCTGTGTTTACTGACGGATCAGCGTGATCGAACAGGACAGTGTTAAACGGACAGAACTTGCTCAGGTCGTACTGAAAAGGAAACAAAATCAAGTTAGGCACACATGGCAGAACTTGCTCAGATTGTACTGAAAAGAAATAATATCAAGCTAGCTAGGCACATATGGCAAGATGTCAGACTAAAAGAGAAATCATCTTAATCAATTATGCAGAGAGGAGAAGACAAAAATTAACAGCTAAAACTTGAAAGTGACTCAACAAATGCACTGACATTGCGGAGATAGTTGGCTACCTTGTAAGGGACGTAATTTCCATGCCAGGCGACCACATTAAACGGCGAGAAATCCTGCGTGGCGGTGAAAAGCTCGCCACCATACTTCTGCACTATGATGTATCCAGGGCGGTGTGCTTGCTCGAACCATGCCGTGGGGGAAAGGAAATCTCTCGCCGAAGCCAAACCATTAGCACCTGCACACCATCCACTCATTAGCTAGGCACCTTATAACAGCAGAGCATGCCGATTCAGACTTACAGTACAATACAGAATGCAGAGGCACGAGCATTACCGATTGGGCCGAGATCAGGGAGCTGGAAATGGGCGCCGAATATCTCGGAAACATAGCCACGCGAAGGGCCATCAGGCAAGTCGACAGCGAAGCGGAAGCCCTGAGGAATGACGACGATCTCACCGGGCGGCACCAGCATCTTCCCGCACTCGGTTGTGATCAACAACTCTGGACTTGACACCAAAAACCATGGAAGGTGATGAGGATGGACGTTCCCATCAGAGTTAAGCACAGCAGAAGAGGAATTGCATCAAGCAACTATTTTCTCTTATTTTTAGAATATAATTTTAAAAAGTATGCTATCAATCAATCGCACATAACGACAGAAGACGGGGACACTGACAAGGATGGCGAGCACAGAGTTTTGGGGAACAAACAGTAAGATGTGATCATAACTGTAGTGGCAGTGGGGCAACCTGGTATTAGTTACTAATACCAAATGTCTGAAGAGAGCAACAGGCTGGTAGCTACAGAAAGACAGCGCGTTGATGTCTGAATTCGGTGGTTTGAAGCCTAGAGGACTCACTCCCTTGCTGGGGCACGATGAGGAAGTCGCCGTCGGCGTTGCAGAAGGCGCACCCGTCCATGGACTTGTTGGCGGCGTACCTGGAACAACAGGGCATGAGCATGAGCAGACAGCAGGGTCAATCGGGCATTGAATTTTGGTCTGAACTTGGAGCTGCTGAATACTAGTAGAATGAACTGTGGAGTGGAGTGGCGAGGTGAACAGTCTGAAGGATGGTTCAGTTCAGTTGAGCAATCAACAAGCTACAGTAGAAAGAAGCAGGTGAGCAGCTGGAGTCGTAGCAGAGTAGGTACATGTGGACTGCGAACCCGTGGCGGAGGAAGGAGCTGCCGGCGCCGCAGACGGTGTAGAGGCCGTCGACGAAGTCGAGGTCCGCATCTGCATCGCGGGGCGGCAGGTCGGCGGGCCTCCATCGGAGCTGGGTGGGGGTGGCGAGGGCGGCGCGGGGGTCGTGGAAGTCGGCGAGGAGGCGCGGGTTGGGCGGGTCCCGCGGGTGGAAGGGGTCGTGGGTCACCGACGGCTTGATCCGGTACATCCACCTGCAGCCAAATCAAATCGGAAAGGATGGATCTTGATTGAGCCTGGAACAGGGGAGCAGAGGAGGAGGGAGAAGGCAGTAGTAGGTACGTTCGTAGGTTGCGGTGGCGCGGGGTGGTGAAGGAGGTGCCGGAGAGCTGCTCGGCGTAGAGGCCCAGCGGGCAGAGCAGCGGGCTGTTGTGGCCGTCGGCCGGGAGCGCCCCCGGGACGGCCTCCGAGGCGAAGCTGTTGCCCAGCCCCGACAGGTACGCGTACCCGTCGCCCTTCTGCTCCGGCTCCGGCTGGTTTGGCGGGTCGGCGGACATGGTGTCTGCTGTGGTGGCAAGCGAGTGTCCGGCGAGGAGCGAGTGGCAAGCAGGCGAGGCGTGTGGGAGTGAGGAGCCTCTCTCTGGTGGTGGTGGCCGTCGCCTAGCGTGCCGTGCCAATGGACAGGATGGAGCAAGTGTCTGAGTTGAAAACTCTCTCCCAAATCCCAATAGCAAGCAGCCAAGCACTACTACTCACGTTGCTGCTGACTCAGCGGCGCCGTCGCCTCCCATCTCATCCCAAAATGCTTTATTATTACAGAGGACTTGGTAAATCCGGCCACTTCAACGCCCGCCGGACACTGCTCGGGCAGCCATTAAATAATGTACTTCCAAAATAATGATCTAAACACTCTTATATTAGTTTACAGAGGGAGCAACCTTAATTGCCATGTCTCAAATCCATACAAACTCATACAACTATGATCAATGCACACACATTGTTCGTCTACTCCATCACTACTAACTAACACATGCCATCAGACTACCACAATTTGGCAATGTTTGGCTATGGTGGAGTTCATCCATGGCTACCCTTGCCCTTTCCGACACCCTTATCGTCCTTCTCATTAAAGTGCCGGTCAAAGACACAGTACAAATCAAGCCGGATCTGCTCGTCGCCGGAGTTGTCCTCACTGTCACCGTCCGCCTTCTCCTCCTTCAGTGGCAGTCCGACCAGGGCACGGACTGCCCGATTTCTGCTCTCGGGAAAGGACCTATGTGTTCCCCATTGTCGTTTCTTCATAATGTGGGCACGAATGGCTTCCTCCTCTGCGGCCACTTGCGCCGCCACATCAGCTGCCTCCGTCGTCGCCATTTCCGCCGCGATACGGGTCTCGGCGGACCTTATCCTCTCCTTCCCACGGCGAGTCACCCGTTCCGATGGGACTCGTAGTCTACCCGACCGGTGACAGGGAAGGAGAGGGGTTCTGACTGCCGGGACCGCGAGGATTCAGCCCAAAGGACCCGAGCACCCCTTGAATTGACGCTGTGGAGTCGTAGCGGACAGAAATCCGTCCGTCAGAGCGGCGGAGTGGAATGCAGACTACCATTGCCACGTCCAACCGGCACGAATGACACCCCAGTCGACGGATCCGGACTGGTCAGGGTCTGATCCGCTATCTACCATGTCGGAGAAGGCTGGAAACCGCCAGAGGTGAGCTCGGGTGGCGGAGGAAAGTGGCTAGGGTTTGCTCCAATGAACAGATGTGGACGAATATAGGTGGAGCCGGATGGGCCAGCATGGCCATGGTACGACATGGCGGGTGTGCCCGGGCGCCCCATATCATCTCCATATTTCAGCTGGATACGAGGGGGTGCCGATCAGCCTGGGTGTTTGAGGGTCATTTGAGGCGATGTCTAGGTCAAAATTTTGCAACCGGACAATGATCGGGCGGCCCGACCAGGCGTATGAGAGCGCCCAACTATAGATGCTCTTACTACTCTTGTAATCTTCGTCTCAAAATAAGTCTCAATCTTATAGTACTAATTTTAGTTACTAAAGATAATACATTTATTTTAAAATCCATTGACCCGCAAAAAAAAAACTCCATGCATTGATCCAGGAAGGAACAGTGTTCATCACAGATTCGCGGTACTCTGCATCACCATACTCATCAGTTTCGGCCATAGTTCAAAAAACCGGACCAAATCGGCAGTCCGACTGGAAAAAACCAGAACCGACGCCCTGTCCGGTTTTGAAGGCGCACTCATCTTTTAGTAAAAAAAAACCAGAATATATTCATAAGAAAAATGGTGCGTCAACTTGTGGCCCAACTCTTTCTTTGTGCACACTAAAGGACCTGTAGAACTAGGCTTGTTAATTTAAGGTCAGTTTTAATAATAATAATAATAAAAGAATAGCCTAGATATTTCAGGTTTTTTTTATTGCAAATGAACCGATGAACCAAAAACTAAACCGACAGCCTCGCCGGTCTGATTTTTGAAACTATATATATATATATATATATATATATATATGGTTTCGGTGCACTATGCTATGTGCTGATGAACAGACAAATAGTTTGATGGATGGATCAAACATTGACAACAGATTAAAGCACACAATAAGATGAAAAACCACTTGTGTATCACTGCATGCATGTACCTTTTCTCATGGTAACAAACTGGAGCATGCGTTTTTACCTGTTACAGGCCTATCTGCTGTTAAAAAATGAACCCTGTCAGTCCTGATGAATATGCAGATTGAAAACAAAGCACCAAACTGCAATGCTGATACACATACATTCATATCCCTAGCAAGATACGTATATGCAAATGCTCGTCTCTTCAACATCATCGCCGCCCTACTTCTTCCCTCGCCATTCATATCCATGGATGGGCGAACAGAGCAACGACAACAACTATGAACTTGTATCGACTTTGCCTATCATATATGGAAATAAAAAGGGCATTTTCTTCAACATTCTTCTCCGCACTTCCTATATATCTAGAACCGGGCAGGGCAACCTTGGCCGCCTCCGTTCCCCTTCGACATTTTTTTTTCCTTTTCTTTTTGGAAAAGGAGGTTAAACGGGGGGTTTTTTTTAAAAAAAAAGGAGGTTAAAACCCCTTGGGCAAATGTCTGCAACTAACAGCAGATCGATGAAGGCAGGCACACAAGAAGAAGATGAGAAACCAGTGAAGAAGCAAACCATCTATATCAATCTACTACTAACCCCTCTCCTCCTGTTTTTCCCTAAACCCAGACCTACAAACCAGCAGCAAGGGCCTGCCTGCTCTGCAACGGGAGCACCTAGACGTCCAAAAGCTGCTGCTCACACAAAGTGAACCCAGCCCAGATACAACAAGCACCCACCTACCAGGCGCCAGGCCACCTTTGCATTGCATTGCTTCCACTGCATTTGCATCATCCCGTCACATCCCAATCCCAAACCCAACCCAACCTTGCTGCTGCCTGCCCCGCACTCTTCTCACCACCTCTTCTCCCCATCTCCCACATATACACACGATTTTGCATCCTCCGCACCTGAAACCTAGCCGCTGCCTCACACTCTGCTACCGTCAACCAAAGCCATGAGGGGTTCCTCTCTGGCCGTCGTACTCGTGGCGCTGCTGCTCGCCGCCGGGGAACTGCATTGCGCAGCAACAGCACCAGCGCCACCAGCAAAGGCATCATCGCCGCCACCACCACAGCACGCACCACCATCGCCTCCGCGGCGACACCGACCATCACACGGACGAGCCCCGCCGGTTCCCCGCAAGCAGGACCCTCCATCGTCACCGCCGCCGCCACCACCCCCGAAGCAGGACCCTCCATCTACACCGCCGCCACAGCAGGACCCTCCGTCTCCGCCACCACAGCAGGTCATGCCGCCTATACAGCTCGTGCCACCAATTCAGGACCCCGACGTGGCACCAGCGGCTCCACCCAGGGGCGGCAACCGCTCCGCAGTCTGCACCACGCTCCTCGTGTTCGGGGACTCGACGGTGGACCCTGGCAACAACAACCGCCTGCGCACCACGGCCAAGGCCAACTTCCCGCCCTACGGCGTCAACTTCTACGGCCGCAGGCCCACCGGCCGCTTCTCCAACGGCCGGCTGGCCACTGATATGCTGGGTAACAGTCTCACATTTCTTCCTCTGTCTCCTTTTGCTGCTGCTGTTTCAGCCAGGATACCTGACTTGGCAGGGTTGCGGTGGTTGTGCAGCGGACAAGCTCGGTATAATGAGGACCATCCCGGGCTTCCTTGACCCGGCGCTCAAGCTGGGGCAGCTCAGGAAGGGGGTGAGCTTCGCGTCGGCGGGCTCTGGATACGACGATATCACTGCCACCACATTAGTACGTCATCAGCATCAACTGTTAATATTTTCAGTCATATCACTAGTGAATTGGTAAAGTACAAAGATCATATGTGTGGCTCATTCACATGAAAAACAAACCTGCCTCCTAATAATAGAGTTAAACTCATAGAGTAGGCATGACTGGTCATGCAACAAGGTTGACCTAAACAGGACCCAAAAAAGGTTCAGTACTTGTTGGTCACTGGCAGATAAAAATTCCCTGTAGGACAAAAAAAGTGATGCTGTTGAAGAAATCTAAATGAAATTTAGATACTCATTCATGAATGTACATTATGATGGCAAATGGTTTAATCAGGGAGGTTCCGTAGATTGGTATGGTAAACAAATTGTGCAAGCTCATAACTGGAGGGTACTCCACAATCAGTGCTGCGCTAGCTATTAACTAAGCTTCTTACTTGCAGAGCGCTTTGCCATTCCGGAGACAACTGTGGCACTTCTGGCGCTACAAGCTACTGATCCGAGCACTGCTCGGACCAAGAAGAGCAGAACGGATTGTCAACAGGGCTACCTTCATCATAAGCGCTGGCACAAATGACATGCTCCTAAACTACATTGCGTCGAACCGATCAGCTGGCCCCATCGCCATGCTGCGGTACAAGAACCACCTGATAGCACGCCTCAGCAACTATACCCAGGTTCGCATGGACTTTGGATCAGAACTAGCTAGCATCGACCCAGCACATACAAATCTTGGATGCTCTGTGATCAATGCTGGATGTATTATATAATGCAGGTGATGAGGATGCTTGGAGCGAGAAGGTTCGTGTTCGTCGGGCTACCCCCGATCGGCTGTCTACCGATAGCAAGAACATTGCTTGGAAGGGATCCAGATGGATGCGACAGCGATCTAAACCAGTTGGCAGCCTCCTTCAACTCGAGGCTGATTCAGCTGTCGAATTTCGTCAACTACCAGCCCCGAATGAGGAGCGCCTACATAGACACCTACACAATCATACGGGCAGCAACAGACAACCCTCAGAACTACGGTAGCGTGTTTCACATCTCTTCTGAATATTGCCAAGATGTGCTGTAGAAGATGTGCTGTTTTGTGGAATGAATGAATGGATGAAATGTAGGGCTGACAGAGGTGTCGAGAGGGTGCTGCGGGTCAGGGATGATCGAGGTTGGCCAGACATGCAGAGGCAGACCCGAGCAAGTACTTGTACTGGGACGCTGTCCATCCGACAGAGACAACGAACCAGCTTATCACAAGCCTGATGCTGGACTCCATTGCCGGAATCTACAGCTAGAGACCCGAGTTCAAGAGGATCCTTTGCGTAGCAAGCTAAAGTGTAAAGGCCACTACTGGGACAATTTCTGCTTTCTTTCTTTCATTCTTTTACATCAGTGTCATGATATTCAACTGTACTGCAAGTGTCATGTGCTATATCTAACTGTACTGCAGTTTAGTTGAGTTGTAAGACTAGAGTGAAGATGTGTTACTGTAACCTTTGCAACTGAAGAAAAAGACACAGAATAACTAGGCTGGAACAACAGCATGAACGAACAAATTAAAGGACAGGTCAATTCCTTACCAGGGTTCTTGCCGCTGTTCCCCATGGAGTAGAGGTCAATGCAGGAACAAGGGAGCCAGCGGTGTAGAATATGATCCTGCTATGAAATCACAAATGTTAATCAGGTCAATGTTGTGCCTTTTTCACAACATCAAAATATTGGGAAATGATAATAATTGACACAACAAGTAGGCAACCACGAGAAATAGTATGAGATGGCATCAGACAAGTATCAGGATTCATGGCTAATACATCTTCTAATATCTCCAACCTGGAAATTAAACAACCTGCAGAGCCATAGACAAATAGATAGATAACAATTGTTGGAAGTTTAACACTGCTACTCATGATTCATTAAGAAGAGCGCATCACTTGATAATCCCAGAATATTGCCATCAGAACAGCATCCAAAACTCCATACCAACAAAGTTTAACAGGCTGGCCAGTTACACGACGCCACCACCGACACAGAACACGGTCCATCCATCCATAAACCCCAAAGAGACCAGGCCTTCCTTCCTGCTGAAGCCTTTTTCACTACTACTAATAGCGCATTCCAGGATAATGAAGCGAACCTACTACTGCTACCCACTGCCTCCCAAAATCTATGTCCACAGCCAGAGAGAGCCGGCCCGATCCGCTGCTCACTTCTTACGCTCCTGCTTCTTCGGCGGCGCGTTCACGAGCTCGTACTCGATCTCCGACATGTTGCTGTCCTCGTTCACCTTGAAGTCGGCGGGCTCCTCCACCACCTCGATCAGGCCCCACTTGTCCACCGCCAGCCTCATCGTGTCCTTGAACATGTCGATCCTGGCGTTGCGGAAGATCACCGTGTTGCCTGGCTTCAGCATCTCAACTGTTGACAAAAAGAAATGTCACTTATTAGATGAGCCAGTGATGCAACTTGCACACAGCGCATAAATGTACACAAAAAAGATATCCATTCAAAATCAGATAAATAAACCATTAGAATGCGATGAACTAAACTGACTTTGGTTACTTCACCATTATACACAGGGAAAACAGATTGTGTAGTATGGTTTCTATCAGGTTACAATAATCCAGCAACTCATCCAGCCGGTTTCAATAATCAGCTTACGGGCATCCTCTATTCCATACCACCTTGATGATGTGCATAAAAGGCAATCTAACTCAGAACAAGAAGAACTTTGCCCCATGCATGTCCCTCTACAGCATGTACAATAATTTTACAGATGTTTCAACAGGGCAGACAAATCCATCTGGATTAGGCATATCAACACATACAGCATGATACAATAATCTATTGTGGCAGTAGCACATGGTCATAAGACAGATGTAACAGACGATAGAATGCTGCTAAGGCCAGTATGGTAATTGCAAGCAAGTGGATTTGTGTCATTCATGCCCCACCCTGGTTACCCATCATAGATGTGAGTTTTACTTCAGTTAAGCATATGCGCAAATTTTATGTACTCAGAAATTCGAATTTCGTGCATGTCCCTTCAAATCATACATAGGCAAATCAGTTTATCAGGTATTTTCGCTGATGCATGCCAACCCATATTTGATAGAGAAACCTATGCATTCTGACCAACATTAGTATACGAGAAAATCGAATGACAATGATTACACCAATGGTAACTGTAACAGAGTCGCAACATTTGATGAATAAATAAGTGTGCAGTGTTAACAACAATACACGCTACATGCCCCTTCAAATCATGTATAGATAGGCAATTTCAAAGATTTCTCCCCCAATGCAGGACCCAATGATACCATGGTAACTGTAACTGATTCCGCAACAGTTGAAGAATAAAAAAGTGCCTAATGGAAGCAAGAATGTAGTTAGGTTACATGTCTCTTGATATCATCATGTATACACTAGCCGATCTCAAAGATTTATCCCCCAATGCAGGACCCGAGACATCTTTAGTGTAACAGGAAATCAAACAATGACCGTACTCATGGTAAGCAACTGCAAGCAATTAATTGTACAGGATGTTATCCATCAAACTAAAACTAAACTAAACTTTAGCATGTGATGAACAAAACTGACTTTAATAAATTAAAAATCAGCATCAGTCACTATACATAGGGAAACAGATTATGTAGTGCGGTTTCTATATCAGGAAGTGGAAGTGTAAATCACACATCAACCAGCGGGTTCCAATAATCATTTTATGGGCATCCTCTATTAACAGGGTATGCATAAGGTGCTTTCAGCATCCACAGTTTCACTTTAACAAGCCATGATGATGATAAGCATAAATGGCAATCTAACTCGGAACAAGAACAAATTTGCCCCATGCATGTCCCTCTACAGCCTATACAGCAATTTTACAGATGCTTCAAGAGGGCGGAGCAACCCAGCTTGATTTGGTATATCAACCCATGTAGACACATATCATGTTGAATAAGTAAAGCATGCATGATACACTCATCCTAATCAGTGTGGCAGTAGCACATTCTCATAAGAATGGAACAGAAAATAGAATGCTGCTAAGACTAACAGCAATTGCAAGCAAGTGGCTTTGTGTACCCCAATTGGTTACCCATCACAAATGCTGAGTTTTACTTCACTTGAGCATACACGCAACTTTTATGTTCTAACTTGCTATTTTGTCCATGGCCCTTCAATCATACATAAGCAAGTCAATTTCTGAGACATTTTCCCTAATGCAGGCTAACCCATATTGCACAGGCAAAACTATGCATTCTGACCAACATTAGTATAACAGAACATCGAATGCTAATGATCACACCAATGGTAACTGCAACTGAATCCCCAACAGTTGATAAATAAAGAAGCATGCACTGTTAACAATACAGGACTACATGCCTCTAGAAATCATGTATACGCAGGCAATTTCGAAGATTTCTCCCCCAATACAGGACCCAATACATAAATAGCAACAGTAGTGTAACATAAAATCAAGCGATGATAACATGGTAACTGCAACGAATAATACAAGCAACAATGTAACTAGGCACATGCCCATTGAAATCATCATGTACAACACAAAAGTTGATTTCAAAGGTATCTCCCCCAATGCAGAACCCGAGACATCACTGCCAACATTAGCGTAACAGAAATCAAAAAATGACTGTACCCATGGTAAGCAACTGCAAGCAATTGTCTGTCCTCAAACAGTAGATGGATCAATAAGCATGTAAACAACATAAGCAACAATGCAGCATGTCCCCCAGATGTGAGTTTTACTCCAATTAACATACATCCAGTTTTATGCTCGAACTTGCAATTTTGTCCATGGACATTCAAATCATAAGTGCACAAGTCAGTCAATTTTACAGATACTTTCCCTGATCAGGCTAACCCATATTCCACAGGGAAACATATGCTTTCGTACCAATACTAGTTTACCAGAAAATCAAAAGATGATGGGCTACTGCAACTGATTCCCCAACGGTTCATGAATAAATGAGCACACACACAGCTTAAAATACATCATAGGCTACATGTCCCTTGAAAATCAGCATGTACCTACAAGCCAAATGTAAAGCCTTGTACTGCAATGCAGGACCCAAAACATCACACATGGCTACTGCAACTGATTCCCAAGCATTCGATGAATGAACAAGCATGTACAGTAAGCAGAAATTTGTAACTAGGCTACATGTCCCTTGAAAATCAGCATACACATACAAGCTGATTTGAAAGCTTAATTTCTCCCCACAATGCAGGACCCAGTACATCGCTACCAACATCAGTGAATCAGAAAACGAAATGATGACTGCACCCATGTTAAGCAACTGCAAGCAATTTTCTGTCCCCAAACAGTCTGACGGATCAACAAGCGTGTAACAACATAAACAAAGATGCAGCAAGCGCAGTAAGATGAAGCTGCTCCATCCATCCAACAGGACAGAAGCCACAACAGCAAGTAGATCTACATAAATCATCTACAGATGGCGTGAGGAGAAGCAAGCGGTTAAATAATCTAGAGGAGGGCGTTCCCAACAAACAGCACGGGGCGAATCCAACAATTCGTCCACCAAATTAAGGCAAGGTACATTGACTAGTGGGGCAAGCAAAGCAGAGCAGAG